ACAGTTTCTTATATAAATTAAGATACAATAGCACTGGGCCTCTTCAGATGAAGCATTTATTTTAAACAGCTTCTTCATTTTGTTAAGCTGTCTAGAACAATAATAAAGCAGTCTTTGAAAAAAAATAAGTCTAATAATTTGAACATTCTGTAGGCATTTATAGCTTTTGACTTACCTCCTTGCAGTAAACAGCCTGTTTCAGTTTAGCCTGATTAACACAAGAAAAAAAATCTGCCTCTACCTCCCAGCAATTTGCTTCCTTGCAGCAAACAGCAAACAGACGGTTTCACTTTCAGTTTCAGTTTCAGCACAGCCTTCCTATGACCAGCAGTTTCAGGCTGCAGGGATTGCTATAGCCTATTGCCACCTCCGCAAGCCCCATTTTCCCTGTTTGCTGCCAGGAGGTAAATTCCTGGGAGGCAGAGGCCAAAGGGTGGGGGCTGGTGGGTGGGTGGGGATACATTTGGTGTATAAGATGCACCCAAATTTTTACCCTCTTTTAGGGGGGAAAGGTGCGTCTTATACTCTGAAAAATACGGTAAAATCTGGGTCCATTTAATGCCGGAATTGATCCTTTCATCTCCATGTAGAGGCAGGTCCCTAAAGAGGTTATGGGAGAAGTCTTGGTAAAGATGTCATCTTCTTTCTCTAGGGCTGGCCCCCATGCAGAGTGACATGGACAAGAAGCCGTTCACTTCCATCCTGTATGGAAACGGACCCGGGTACAAAATAATAGCTGGAGAGAGAGAGAATATCTCAGCGGTCAATTTCAGTAAGTACCAAGCAATGGTTCCCCATCTTCCTCCCAGCAAACGGGGTTCAGCGAGACCCCCTTCATTTTCAAAGGGTCGTCTAGAAAGGCTCTTTGGCCAGTTCGGGCTGGATTTCTCCCTGTTTTAGGACCCCCCCGGATCAGCTATGGTACCCTCCTGTTCTGACCCAGGCTTCCTTAAAACGCAAGAAACGGAGTCTTGGTCCCGGCAAAACCCCTTTTATTGACACGACTGTGAATTCCTTTCATTCGCAGCCAGCAAGGCTTAGCAAACAGTCTTTCTGAGGAATGTTTATCAACACGAACCTTATCTCGCTTGGTGAGCTGCCAAATAACTAGTTTCCAAACGCAGGGCAAGGTAAAACTTGGCACAGAGTCTCTTAAAGTCACAAATAGAACTTTCCACTCTTGAACCAACCAAAGGAACAAATTGTTTCCTGCAAAAGCCCCCTCCCCCTTCGCTCCTCTTTTATTTCCTATGGAAGGGGCCAATCACCTCCAAGGTGTGGCTTTACTCCCAAGTCGACCCTGCTTTCTTGGTTGTTCTTGTATTCCGGCAGCTCTGCGCATGCGCACACTGGGAACAGGCTCCAGCTGTTCCTCTGCTTCACTGCTGTCTAGCTCCTTCTCTGCCTCTGATGCAGAGCCCTCGTCTTTCCTCAGCCCCCAGAACTGGCCCATGTTCCTCCCCAACCTCACTGTCCAATTCTGTTGCCAGCTCTGCTGACTGCCGGCGGGCCACAACACCTTCAAAGATTTGCCAAGGCATCTCTTCTCCCTTGACTGATCTCCCAATGCAGTGGTGGGTTTCAAAATTTTTTGGGAACCTCTTCTGTAGGTGTGGCCT